ATGCGTCTACATATGTGTGCATGTGTGAATACATGTGAGTATGTCTGTCGGCGCAAATAGCCGATCTGTAAAAAGTCTAAGCCATCCCTACTTGCCCTTTGCTAAAGGAATATTGCTACATAAGTATCACTACAATCCTGACACTGAAATAGACAGAATGAAATTTGTGTAAATACGTGTGCCCGCACGTATGAATGTGTAAAAGAGCCTAACCCAATATTATGAATATGGATGTGTATGTACGAATAAACATGTGTGTCTATGTAAATGTGAGTGTCCTCCCAAACAAAAAGGAAATAATTTCCCCCCCTCCTCCACCGCGCACAAGTAATCAAACCCAAATAAAGCATAGATTCATTTTTGAAACCAGTTTGTCTGAAGATCGTGACAACGTGAAACCCGGGGTTACGAACTGCTATCCATATTAGTAATATCATTGATATTGAGCACTTTCCGCTAAATACTGTTATACATACACATACATACACACACACACACACACACACACACACACACACACATATATATATATATATATATATATATATATATACAGTCATCAAAAACAAGCAAATAACCAGCTTTAAAATAATAACAATTCCTTTTTTTTTTAATTAAAAAAAAATAATAGTAAATGTTCTGATTGCTGACATATATACATTCACGAGACATTCACGAGAAATTTTCGCCACACTTCCAATCTTTGAATTTCAACATACAAATGCGTATGTATAGACACAACACCACCCATATACATATATATGTCAAATCCAAAACTCTCCACATATGTTTATATATGTATGAGTCCCGACGGACAAGCAAGTGTGTATGTGTGTGTGCGTACCTCATCTGGTGTACGGACATGAATCTATGTTTGCGTTTGCATCTACCTTAAGCACGATGACATCACGACGACGCATCCTCCACTCCCATAATAACACCGATACACGCAATTTACATAAACCCCAAATTCAAAACTCACATCAATCCAACCAAATATGTTAGCTCTATCTCTGATATTGAGCGCTTACTAATAAGTACCGCTCATATAATATATAAATAATTATATATATATATATATATATATATATATATATATGTGTGTGTGTGTGTGTGGGGGGATGTGTGTGTGTGTGTGTGTGTGTGTGTGTGTGTGTGTGTGTGTGTGTGTGTAAGCAAATATATGGATACAGATCCGACAGTATGAAGAAAAATATACGGAAAAATCAAACAAAAATCCTAATATGCAATTATGCTGTTTTAATGTTAATATAATGTCAGCGTCGGACGTTTCGGTCTAGTAGACCATCTTCAGGACATATTCATAAAACCATTAAAAAATTATGTTTTATGAATATGTCCTGAAGGTGTAAAAATTATGTTTTATGATTTTACGATTTTTGTTTGTTTTTTCCGTATATTTTTCTTCAGATATATATATATATATATATATATTGAACAATAAGGAAATAAAAAATTAAAAAATTAAAATCATTAGACACACTGGGTTGTAGATTAATATTCTTTCGTTTTTTTATTATTATTATTCCATTTAGATTCCTCGACTAGTTTCGACCGAAATGGCCATCATCGGGAGGATAAATATTTCTGCTTGCTGTTGGCAGTGAACTACAGAAAGGAATGTCTTTTGTTGGAGAAAATGAACTTTTGTCTGTAGTTTTCATTTGTTTTATATATATATATATATATATATATATATATATATATATATATATATATATATATGTTTGTATGTATGTATAAAACTTCAGTCATTATTAAAAGTGGATAAACCGTACTTGCAATAGATAGCTTATTTTTATACATTAACGAGTGGGTATTACGTCTCTCAGACTGTGAATTGCAGAAAATTTATGAACGAAAATACGATCCCCGCCAGAGATACTACGATTTCTTGAATATATAGGAGGATAGACATAACACAGATTGTTTAAGAAATGAAAATGGGGTATCTATTGCAAATACAAAGAATATATTTCTGTTTCATGCTTCAACGTTATCGTCAGGCCTTGTGTTGTGTGTTGTCTCGACTATTTCATATGCATTTCAACGAGGTATAACATGTAGCAAGGTATTACAGTTTTTAATATATATATATATATATATATATATATATATATATATATATATATATATATATATGTGTGTGTGTGTGTGTATATGTGTGTGTATATATATATATATATATATATATATATATATATATATATATATATATATATATTTGTGTATTTAGGAGCAATTTTTCTTTCATGTTAATCCAAGCACCATGTTTGTCATTTTTAATGAAGCATCATATATATATATATATATATATATATATATATATATATATATATATATATATATATTTGCATTTTATATTAATTATATGTGATATATGCGCGTTACTTATTGGAAAGCGTTCAATATGAGTGATAGAGCTAACATATTTAATTGGATTCATGTGAGTTTGCGACACTGGGTAACACGTGAAACC